CTCGAAGCCTCAGCGTAGGCCGCGTGGTCTGCGAATTGCGGCCGCACCGCCTGCGGTGAGGCCCCGCCCCGGCTGCTGTGGCCAGAGGGCGACGCGCCGGGATTCGAACGCCGTCTGGGAGCTGCGGTGGGGCGGAAGTAGTTCTGGGGCGACGGGGGAGACCGAGAGCCCGGGAGAGCGGATGGTAAAGGTGAACAACTCTCCGAAATCAGACTACCAGCTTACGTCTTCTGCAATAAGCGGAAGAGTTAAAGTTTTCTAGATTTAACCGTCACTGCTCTAAAGGTGGAAAGCCTAGTGGCATAGTGGTTAAGAGTTTGGCGGCTAACCAAAAGGTTGACGGTTCGAATCCAGCAGGTGCTTGCTGGAAACCATATGGGGCAGTTCTACCCTGCCCTATAGGGCCGCTGAGTCGGAATCGACTTGATGGCAACGGGTTTTTGTTTTTAACTCTAAATAGGAGTCACCACATAGGCCAGCTTCGTATTTTGACCTTGTTTTTCTCAATGGCTGAGTTTTCAATCCCTAGGCCCAAGTGTACCCACGGGTTCTTCTCCACTAACCATCAACTGATTGACCATTTAGAACAGAATTCTTGCAGGGAGGCTTTTTATAATCCCCAGCCCACCAACCCTTAAAGCGCCTAGGCCACCCTGCACACAGACTCGCTCCTTTTCACGTTGTAGTAATGGGGTTACATCAAGTTAACTACTTCTGCAGTTGTCAATAGGCACCTTCATGATTAGCTTCTGGAAGTTTGAGTTATTTTTTAATCTCCCTTATTTTGAAAAACGTAGGAGACATTGAGCTCAGAAAAACAGATGAGACTAACATTCTAGGTCAAACCAGGAGGGGCGAAGCTATGCCCGTGTGCGTGTCCCACACATTTCCTCGGGTGCAAAGGAAGGTTATAGGCAAAAGGCGGTGGGGAGCAGGAAGCGCTCTAGTGTTTCCTGTGGAGAAGGAAAAGGTGCGTCCATGCATTGATGCGATGATGGACTGAAAGGCGCTTCTTCCACTTTCAGTTGTATTACAAGGGGGACCATCTTCTCATTTCCACACACCCTGGATTTCACCTGCAGGGATGCTGAGCACCTAGTTTCTACTTAGTCCAGTGCTGCTTTTTCTAGGTCACTTCTGGATGTGGTACTGCATTTATAGTAACATTTTCTGCTCCCTGTTGATCTTGTACCTTCTGGTGCAGTCAATACCTTTTTTTTCAATTAGAAAAATATTTCCCACTTTTAAAATCCAAACCATCACACCAATAGAACTAGAGTTTGCATGCGGAATGAATCTTTTATTACTAGATTATAAAAATAAAATACAAAATAATTTTAAAACAGAACTTAAAACACTGTACAAGGCTTTAATATGATACAAATGGGAAAATTAAATAAATAATTACACTTTTATGTACAGATGGCCTATACAAAAGCCCTCCCTCCAGGTTTCTGCCAATACGCTATGTCCTTGGCTGCCTGAGCAAAAGTGAATAAAGGGGGCAGCTTAAAGGGGAAAGGGACCCAATACAATACCTTTAGAGGTATTTCAAAGAGCAGTGTCTCATCTCTCTGATTTCATGAAGAGGAGAAGACGGAGAGAAAAGAAATGGCATTATCATAGTCAGCTATTCTAACTCATTGGTCTTGCTCAACGAGAGAATTCTGGTTTGTGGCTGAATCTTATTTAACAGCTGCCAACAGTTCATAACTTTTCAGGTTTTTCTCTAATTCGAACCTAGATGTTTCCCTCCTCTCCCCTTTTTCCTAAAAATCCAGGAACTTAGCGTAAATGGCCCAATGAAACAGACACTGGCTAGCTGAGCAAAGGCATCAGGAGGAGGAGCAGGAACTGTTACCAGCGAGATGCGAGAGGGCTCAAGCCCAGGGCTGTCTGATCTTTTTACTTCTTTATTCAATCCACCCAGTCCAATCTCAGAGCCGCAAACGACACAGTTTCATATTTCCATTAACTTATCTTTGTAGATCTGAATGCTTTCTTTGCTTAGTGAATTAATGTATTTATCTGGTGAACTGTTTTAAAAAAAATACTTTTGGAAAAAGTCCCCAGCGCTTTCCCATTGTGGATAACTCCCTAAAATAAATCATTCAAGCTCCAGTAGCCGGGTTTAACCCCTGTGGGTGAGTGAGGAGACTCCAGATACGGTGAAGTGCTGTATGTGAATTTTTAAGGATTTAAATTCCACATTATAAGGGGGGGAAAGCATCACATGGCAAGAGTTGTCTATATAAAAACTTGGTTTACTCAAAGTTTTTAACTAGGTGAGTGAACACTTACACAATATGAAACAATATTAACCTACTAAAAAGATAGGTAAAATTCCTATCCATCAGTGTGTAAAGTTATGTGATCAACAAATCCTATAGTCACAAGGGCTCGAAGATCTGTCTCAGAAGAGCCTATTCTGTGGTCAAGGTGATCCTGTTCACCTGGCCTAGGGCATCTGGGAAGCACGGTCAGCATCGCCAATGACACATATGTGCCCACACTAACATTTCCAATTAAAGAGGAGGCAGAAACCTGTTATCTGCAAAGCTTCACAGGGCAATGAGGAGACAGCTTTCATTTCTTTTACATGTATCCTTAAGAACAAGGATCCAGCAAAAGCTAAGGGAAATATTCAAATCATTATTGAATAAATGTTACTTTTTGCTCTTTGGTGTCTTGAGGTGATGTGTAACCTCAAAGTGATCCTAATCTCACCACATTCTTTTTCTGATACAAATTTTCTCAAGGGGGATAGGCAAACATCAGGTTTACATATTTTAAAAGTAGAAGCAGAAATTGCTTCACAGAGAGACAATCACAACTAAATTACAAAGTATCTTGATGGGCCAAGACTTTAATGTCAACATTCCATGACTAGCCAGGGACTGAGGTGTGCAACATCCAAATTCTCAAGTGAAAAGGATCCTTGTCCCATGTCCTGGAGTTACCTGAGAACTACAGGAATTCCCCCTGCACCTTCTGCAGGTTCTCCCAGCAATGCTGGGCAAGATTCTGCAGGCCCCCAAGACTCCCTGGGTTACATTTCTCTTCATTCCAGAGGAACAGCTGAAGTATTGTGAATACTCAATCGTAACGATTTCTACTCTGTTCCCACATTCTCAAGGTACACACCAGGCTTCTAACTGAGTGAGGACAAGGAAGCAGGGTGTCCTGACAACCTTCGGGGATTTTCCATGCACTACATCCTCTGATACAGTCTAAGGACTGGAACTGCCTCTTGTTCCTTTTCTCTAAATTAAGGTCTAAATATGCACCTTTGGTTTCTCAACTTGGGTATATATTAACATGTATGGACCACATGCCTTAATCCTGTAATGTTTTGTATATGAAAACATAGATAAGTAGCTGTTCTGCTACTATATTGTCTATAGAGCCAAAGTCAAGAAAGTTAAACAATGCAGTTGTCCTCAACCAGTCTATCTCAGCAGTGCTTCCGGTACTAAGCATCTCTCCTTAGGCACAGTGCCAACACATCCATGGTAAATGCAGATAGAAACGGTCAGCTTTTAAAAGACTCAATGCAAGCAACTTCATTCCAAAATACAGGAACATAACCAAGAAAAGGTCTTCTAATATAGGCCATGTTTTGACAGATATAAAGGAATGAAAAAAGGTTTTAAAATGTGAAAAACTGGTATCTCCAACACTAAGTCTAGACTTACCTACAAACATACTTTCAAAGAGCCAGAGTAAGATGCATCTTTTTCCTGAGCCGTTAAATTATGAATTCTGGATCCTGTTTCAATCACCAACTTCTAATGTTAGATAAGGAGTGTAGTTCCTAGAACTTAGAATCCTCTGCCTTTGGGAAAAAAGCGCCTGTTTTTTAATTCAAAGCTATTGAGTATAGGAGAACTAACTATGGTTTTGACTGTCTGGGTTTATAAAACATGCACCAAGTACACTTTTTCCGTGTAGACTGAAGGCAACCATACAAACATTAGCATAAAAATCTGTGCCCTGGAGTTTCTCACAACTGTTGAAGAGTCTCAAGTCCCCATAGTGGCTAGGAGCTAAACAGAAAGAGATGCCACACGTCTAGTCCACTGAATACTAATAAGCAGCTGAGATTTAGTATTTTAAAGCAAATAATATAAAGTGGATAATGACTACAGTGGATCTCAATTACCATTTTGCTACTTATTTAGGGCCTGATTAACTTGGCAACTTTTACAAAAAAATTCACTTCACAACATGCAACTTAAGAAACAGTGACTGTAGCTCCGCCACTGTCAGCACGGCCGGCTTGCTCACCAGAGTTAAGAATGAGTATCTGCCTAAATCTCACCATTCAAAGGTGTTTCTAATCTGTGCTTTAAGGTTACATCTGCTGTGGCCCAACGGCCCTCCTTTAGTCACTATACATTAAAGTGAGATGCCTTTCAGCTGTGCAAAAAATTACTCTGTGGAAATGCAATATTTCAACAAATTCGTAGACCCTGGAGATTCGGCAGCATAATTCAGGAGGAATGCCACCTAAACGGACTGAGCCTGTCACTCATTCTAATTTCTGCTCCACCCAGTTCCTTCACCCTGTAACACTTTTTGTGTGAAAACCTAGATAAGTAGCTATTCTGCTACTATATTTTCTACAGGGCCAAACTCAAGAAAGCTGACAACAAAGGGATTAGAGAAGGGGCGGGGAGGGGCAGGTGTGGCTAGATGATCGGCCACTTGGTTTGGACAGGAGGAACCAGGGGGCGCCTGATCTTTAGAAGACAGTTGTAACCTCTGCCCCATATGACTTTTTGTCTAGTTTGGTTTGATTTTGATCGATGGCCAGCCCCTCCTCTTAAGTAGAATAACATAACTTGTTTAAAATTACTTGGAATGATCTGTGTTTGTTACTGAAAACTGAAATACGCCATTACTAAAAAAAAACACCAAAAATAAATAAAGAATAATTTAAAGAACCCATTCTCTACATCATACTTTAAAATGAAAGAAAAACAAAAATCCTTGTGCCAAAGGTGATTCATTCAGGGCTGCTACTTCTGCATTTAGACATCTAACATCTAAAGCACAAGCTATGCTTTTAAAAACCCTAACATCTCTATGTAGGACACTATTTTTGAGTAGATTTATTGATACATAAGATATTATTAGTATGTTTTAAAAGCATCAGAGCAGAAACATCTTTGGTTACCTCTTTCCTCTACACGTAAAATAAAATACTATTACATAAGGACACTGTTGACCTCTGGATTTTAGTGAGTTTGTCAGTGCTAGGAATAGGGGGCAACACAGTGGGGAGACTGGCAGAAAAGGGAAGGAACCAAGAAAGAAAACGTTTAGTTGCCACGTTGCCATCACTGTCAGTTCTGACTGCCAGCGGATAAACGCCAAGGAGAACTGAAATAACGCGCGTACCACAGTTACAGCCGCCTCGGCACATTTCTGACTAGAGGGGTCAGGATTTAAAGCCAGCTATTTTTAGTACAATTTAGCTAATACAACAAGAAAAGAAAAATTAAAAAAGATCATTCCTTAATTGTAGGTTACACCCCCCACCACCATCAAGAAAAAAGTGAGGTGAAAAGAAGTAGAATGGCAATTTTTAAGAGATTTTTTTTAAAACTTCATCATGTCAGACCCATGATTTTCAGCCCAGTTTATCCACTCCAACTGTAAGGACAAAACTATGTGACTAACATGGCGTATCTGTGAACCAGTGTTGCCAGTAATTTGCCCCCTATTAAAATCTTCTTTAAGTGAAAATTAAATACTACATCTTGGCTCGTTAAGGTCTGCCAACCCTTGCATCGTACACAGGGAAGGCAAGAACAATCTGAGGCATCACATGCCAAGAACATATTTTCAGAAAACCAAGGTCGGCAAGGCCCAAGTGTACACGAGGCACACAATAGAAAAGGAATCTCACCATCTGTGATCTTGAAATTACAAATGGAGAATGAGAAAGAATGAGTTTATATAAGCATATGTCTCTCTCTATAAATATTTATATAATTTACCAGGAAGACATGCAAGTAGTGTTATAGCAACTATTATACAATATAATACAGAGGGATTGGCCTTCCAATAATACAGCTGCTTAAGTTAAATAGCAAATAGGTCTTATCTATTACATTCCTCTGCAGTGCTTGAAACTGGAAATGAAGATTCCACACTATGCTACGTTTCTTATGGGAGACCATATATGCCTCAAAAGTGTTTTGAGTTTGTTTTTTTTTAAAAAGTTCAACACAGATAAAGAGAACAAGGAAAGCTCAGTGCAGCTTCAGGGCAGCTTTGATGCAGCATTAGAATATGTTCACTTGGTGAGGAAATACATTTCTTTCTTTTCTTTTTTTCCAATTTAACCGTATTAGGATTGGCAGCAAACAAGGTCAAAGAGAAAGCACAGATGTTTGCTAGAAGGCAAATTTCAACAGCAAGCAGACCAATTTCTCTGACCTTAATAAGGTCGTGACAACACAAAACACCTAGAGAATATAAAAGAGACCATTGTAAAGTCTGGTGTCATTTAATTTTGCCTGATACCTGGCAGCAGCAGAGTGAGATCTGAACAAATCAGATCCCTGTTACAGCTTCCTAAATTTAAATTACATGGAATTCAAACTAAAGCCCAGGAAAAGCAGGTAATAAAACATCAAAAGAAATATTTAGCCTAAATTTGTCTCCTCAGATATTCATTCCTTATTGGTTAAACGTGTAAAATACACAGTTTGAGGATTATAAGCCTCAATATACCTAATTTTTCTTTCTTTCTAGCTCTCTAAAAGCATAAAGACACATTGTAAACTTTGTTCTTCCCTGGTGTCATCTTGGAGGTGGGCACTGGGAAGAGTCTGTACCAGGAAGACCTAAGGAAGCAAGGTCTGCTCTGGCCAGCTGTCCTCCACAAGAGGAGACGCAGCAGGGACGCACAGGGTTCTTTTTACCTTAAAGGCTGTCTCTCCACAATCTGTCCCTCTCTGCCGAAAGCACTACAGCCTACGAAGCACCTCTGTTTAGACCTTTTCTTTACCTATGTTTCTCAGTTATTTTTTGAAGTAAAAATATACTGGGTTAAGAAATGCTGCTCCAGGAAAATTATCAGGGGACTAAAAAAGGTAGCTGGATTTGAAATTGCCAGCATGTGCTGCTAAAAGTACTGTTAAAATGAAAGGAAAGAGATTGAACCAGGTGAGAAACACTAACTTTAAAATGTGAGACCCATGGAGGGTAGTAGGAATAAGGCAAAGTAAAGGTGGGACTTCTCAATACACTAGATAAACTCACGAGTCAAAAATACGTGTGCAGTGGCCTCCTGGCACCAGACTTCTTACACATACTCTAATATCTGAGCAATACTGACTCTTCAAGGTTGTAAGTTTTGAATGAAAATATTAAAATAAGTTTCATTTTTGCTATATAATCTCTGAGTCTTAAAAAATTGGGTCAAATCCCTTAAAATTCCATTTTATCTCCTACCCTCGATTCTTCTGTTTCAAAGGCAGATAAAAAATGGGAGCTCGTTTGATGAGTTTCTCCCCCTTGGATTTGCTGGGTTGCCGCTTCTTACACAAAGGCATTGACTCCTGATCTGCTTGCTGCCTGCCTCAGGTAATTCCTATCACATATTTATGTCTTCTTATAAATAATTTATCATGTAACTTTTTTTGCAAGTGAAGACCAACACTGATTTTTTAAATAGACAGTACAGGACACAACATGCATCAGGTTCAGGAGGAAGATCTCACACCTTGCAAAGAGATGCAGCCCGGCTCCTATCTGCTGAGCTTACTGGCTGCCTTACTCTTCCCCGGGGGGGTTTTAGTGCTGGCCGAGTGGTGGTGGAGGCTGCCAGGCCCTTTCAGGCCATTCTTGCTGGGTTTGCAATGCTCCTGTTGGCAGGACCTCCTGGAGGAGGAAGAGCCGGAGTGGCTTGGAGGTGACTTGCTTCTCCCCAGATGTGGGGATGAACTCCGCTGGTCGTGGTGGGGCCGCCCCGCCCTAGAGGGTGAGGAACTAGACGTGCGAGGCAAGGAAGAGCTTCGAGGAGAGGCACTGGGACTTCGGCGGGGGACAACTGGACTCTTGGGTGGTGTTTTTGGATTGTGAGGGGATCCTGGACTCTTGCACTGAGTAGTGCTCCGGGGTTTCTGAGATCCATTTTGAAGAATTTGGGCCAGACGGGAGAAGAGGTCTGAGTCGGAATTGCTACTCCCTAGGACTTTGTATCTGCGTAGCCTTAAGAGAACAGAAATAATTATTTTCACTTTAATTCATTTCAAGTGTGCCTAAAAAGTCACAGTGGTCCAAATCATAGTGTATGATTTCTGTGAAATCATAAAATATATCATACAATAAATAATATCACCCATGAGTACTGTGCTCCTTTAAATAATCATCTATATGAGACCAAACCATCAATATTTACCATAAAGCAAAGATAGAAGGTAACGGGGAGGGGGTAGAGAAGCTGGATTAATGGAAACAGAACAAGCAGAACGGAAATAATGAGAATGCTGACACAGTGTGGAAAATGTAACCAATGTCACTGAACAATATGAACAGAAACTACTGAATGGGAACCTAATTTGCTGTGTAAACTTTCACCAAAAATACAATGTAAAAAATACATTTATAGGATAAAGTGTCACTCTTTCACATATCAGCTATATGACCCTGGGAAAATGATTTAACGTCTCCTAGCTTTCAATGGGAATACTGTCTACCTCACAGGGTCACTGAGCAGACCAAGCGCTGTAACTGTGTAAAGAAGGTAGTTGAATGTCTGCTATGCGAAAGCGCTTAGGTGATGTTCGGTGCCGTTGAGTCGATGTTGACTCACAGCGACCCCATGTGACAGAGTAGAAGGGCTCCATGGAGTTTTCTTGGCGGTAATCTTTACGGAAGTAGATGGCCAGATCTTCCTCCCTCCCAGCATGTACGCTATTCTAATTTCAGGAGTAACTTCATGACTTGTGTCTAGCGTACATTAGCACAGGAGAGCATAAACCATTTTGTTTCAGGACTGGAATTCTGCACGTATATGTGCAAACATTAAATCCCACAGTGTAAGTCTTCAACATGAACTGCACTCACCAAGAAGAGCAGCAACCATAGATAAAAGTGTATTTCAGCCATATTTAGTAATTTCCAAAAGAAAAGAGTGGTCACTGGTTTCTCCTGGCCTTGGTTCTCGCCTGACAACAGTCCGGGACACAGGAGGGCTGATGTGGGGGACTGACTGCACCTCTGACTGGCAACTCAGAATTCTAATCTAAAGAGTATTCATATGAACAGCAATGTCTTCTCTGCCCTAGGCAGCTTTCTGGTTTGGCCTAAGGATCATATAAAACGGTATCTATTATAGTTTTGTAAACTATAGTGCATGCTATAAGGACTTCAGTGGTGATACTAAGTAACACGGTAATAAGAGCCTTAGGGCCCCGCCAATATAAAACTACAGTAAATAAGTATATCAGCAGAGGAACAGACAGACAAACCGAAGCAGCAGAGCACTGAACCCAAAAAGGTACTTGTGTTTCTACGGGCAATGAGCATTGGGGTATCACCAACTTCACACCATGTATAGTGAAACCTGTGAGAGCTGGGACTCGCTGGGACTGCCTTGTTCTTCCCAGTCTTTCACAGGGTGCAGTCTTACCATTTTTCTATCGTTCGCTTTAGAGGAAAATATCTGAATTTTCCTTCTCTGACAGGTTTACACCTTACACAGATCCAGCTTTCACAGGTTTTACTGGATGATAACTCCAGATGGACTAAAGATGCACAAAACAATAAAAGTATTGGAAGAGAATATTTTTTTTAAATATTAGGGTTGAAGGGACCTTCCTAAGCCTGTTATAAAACACAGAAACCATAAAAGATACTCAGTTCCACGAACACTAAATTTTTCTATAAAGCAAAAGGTACCATAAATCAAGTTAAAAGGCAAGCAACAGACTAGGATCAAACATCCTCAATATATTTTGTGGACAAAGGGATTAATAATTAATAAGAAAATCAACCCAATAGAAAATTGACATGAACAAGGCCAACAACTCATAAAAGCCATTCAAGTAAAAATATATATGAAAAGATCTGTCTCATGAATAGCCAAATGAATACCAATTAAATCAATGAAGTAACGTGCTTGTCAGATTACCCCCCAAACTCAAGTGATATTACCAAGAGGGTAGAGAAGAGAGCTCATTTACAGGCGGTGTGAGTATGAATCACTAGGGCAACCTTTTTGGGAGGGCACTTTGAATATATTTATAAAATTATAAATATGCAAACCTTAGCAATTCTATTTTTAGGCATCTACTAAAAATGTGGGCAAAGGTGCCAAAGATCTATGTTCAAGGTTATTCACTGTAGTACTGTTTATAAAAACAAAAATCTGCAAACACTGTAAATGTCCATGAATATAGAAATGGTTTAATACTTTATGGTAAATTATACCACGAGATATTAGATGGCACTTTTTAAAAGAGTGAGATAGGTCTATACGTACCAACGTGGAAGAATGCCCAAGATATATTAGGTTTTAAAAAGCCACATGTAGAATAATATTATTACAAGATCTCATTTTTGTTTAAACAATTTCCATGCCTGTGTGTATATCTGAGTAGGGAGATGAAAGGGGCTTTCACTGTGCACTTCATATATTTCTGTGTTATTTTCAATTCTTACAACAAACATGTTCTTTTCTATAATTTACAAATACCAATAATGATTTTTTTAAAGTTATGATTCAATAAACAGTTCTTTAATATGGTTCTAAACAGAAATTCTGAGTACTGGCAAGGTTAAGGATGAATGGGATTACAGAAAATATAAATGCTCTAAAAACCTAACCAAACTCACTGCCGTTGAGTCGATTCCAACTCCTAGCAACCCTGTAGGACAGGGAAGAACTGCCCCATAGGGTTTCCAAGGCTGAAATCTTTAGGGAAGCCGACTGCCACGTTTCTCCCGCAGAGCAGCTGGTGGGTTCAAACCGCCAACCTTTCCGTTAGCAGCCAAACATTTTAACCACTGTGACACCACACCCGTTGCCACTGAGTTGATTCTGACTCATAGCAACCCTATAGGACAGAGTAGAACTGCCCCTACAGGGTTTCCAAGCAGCGAGCAGCTGGTAAATTCGAACTGCTGACCTTTTGGTTAGCAGCCATAGATAGCTCTTAACCATTGCGCTACCAGGGCTCCTATAAATGCTCTAAGGATCTAAAATCCATTCTGTTTAAGCACTTAAACTTCCAACTGCTGAAATAAGGAAGTGGGAGAACTTCCAAGGTTGCATCAGCACCTGCAGGGCACAGGGGCATAAAGGGCCGTAATCACATCTCGGTCAGCAACAAGTTACACATTTACTCTCTGAATTTTCTGTCCTCCTCCTTCCCCACCATCTAGTCAACTCTGAATAGTAACATGAAATTCACTTTGGTTACACCTACCCTCACGGGCCTTAGACAATGAAACCTGTGAGAGCCGAAACTCGAGGGGACTGCCTTGTTTTTCCTGGTCTCGCAAGTTTTCCACCTTTGACAGGGTTCAGTCTTCTCCCTACTCTATTGCTCGTTTTACTGGAAAATATTTGCATTTTCTTTCTCTGACAGGTTTCTGTTTTATACAGGTTCTGGCTTTTGCAGGTTTTACCGTAGTAAAATATGAGGAATGGAAACAATTTCTGTGTGCCAGGACCTAAGCAGGAAAGATCCAAGGCCCAGATGAGTTCCAGGCCGGTCAGCTCTGTGATTGCTGGCACAATGTCACACTTAGCTTGGTTACAAAGTGCGACTTTTAGGGGACACATAAAAGTGCTAAGTAATAAATGAGAATTAAGATTTGTTTAAACTGCATTCCAATGCAGCTTAAGCCACAGATATACCATCTCTGTTAAGCATAGATGCCAAGCAGAAGATGAAGGAGGATGAGTGAATACTGTTCATGGAATCACTGTTTTAAAATGTCTCAGCTAAATGACTGCAGCTTACTCAGCACCATTCTTCCTGCAGAGGTCTAATCCCAGTGACACTTCAATCCACGGTTTGGTTACCCCTGGACCAGAAACCCTAGGCCAAGTCAAAACTAAACCGAGTTTAGGGAAGAGTAGCAAGTTCTTCTGGGTAGTGACAGAGACAGAATCTTACTTTATCACACTTCCGAAGTCCTTATAACAGGTAGAGGCCTCCTGTTATACTGTCTGGACCAGACAGTGGTTTTCAGGTAAAGGTATTTTAATTTTCACTTTATTTTTGTTAAAAGACCATCCTTGTTCTTTTTCTTCTCCCAGGGTTCTGACCATCCTACCCTGTGAAGGTGAGCAATGGCCTCAAGGGAAGCTCTGGTTTATTACCTTCCAGTGCTTTTCCTCCTCTTCAAAATACCATCACTCTAGGCTCAAATATATCATGAGGATATCTAAATAAGCAAGTATACTACACAGTAAGGCAGTGTCTTTATTATGTATGGTTGTACGTATTATTGGGCCTAGGGAAACTTTTTGTAAGATTTTTGTTTACTTCATTATAATCAGATAAACAGTATAAACAGGGCCCATTCATCCAATTATAGACATGGTATTCATCATAGAACCTGACATCATACTGATATTTGTTAAAGTGAGATTCTAGCTATAAAAGGCTAGAAAATTACTGAGTATCTGGTCAAAATGGAGGAGCCCCTGGGTGGCTCAAACAGTTAAGCGCTTGGCTCGTAAATGAAAGGTTGTTGGTCTGAATACACCCAGAGGTAACTCAGAAGAAAGGCCCAGCAATCTACCTCAGAAAGGTCACAGTCACTGAAAACTCTGTGGAGCACTTGTTCTACTCTGAAACACATGGGTCGCCGTAAGTTGGAAGTGACTCAACGGCAAATTTTTTTTTTTTTTTTTTGGCCAAACTGGACTGGAAAGAGAAGTCACCTTTATTGCACTCTAAGTAAGCACTGCGCAAAGCCCTCGATCTATGTTAACTTATTTCATCCTTTCAAAACCTTGAGGCAAATGTCTCACCCGTTTTATAGATGAGGTAAATGAGGTTCACGCTGCTAGAAAGGCGCGAGTCAAAAAGTAACCTGAATCAGTCTGACATCTACCACTACAGTATGCTATAAAGTCTGGGAAAGACAGAATGAAGCAGATGGCCAGAGGAGGCAAAAAATAAATGGAACCACTAGCATATTAGATAAAACAGACACAGAGATACTGTCACACACTTAACATGGGAAAGCACACGGCATTACCTGGCTTCCACTCCAGGCCTAGTTGGTGGCTTTCCTGGTGGTGGTCGAGGCAAGAACTGTGATGAAGTGGAGCTATTGACTTGATCTGTATTGGCCCATGAGACCGGCCTTGGAATTTTGCTCTTTCTGGACTGGGAGATGATGGGTGACAGAAAGCTCTCTTCGGCTGACCTGCTCAGGTGAGAGTCCACTGCCAGTCTCGAAAAGGGAGTGAAGACTTCCTCCTCAGAAAAGGGAGCAGGAACAGTAGCTAGTTTCTCCCCTAGCAATTTATCAGAGGCACTTGAGAGGTCACCCAGGAAAGACTTGAGTTGCCTTTTTTCTACCAGAAGCTTGACTAGGTCCGGTTGATAAGCTTTCTTTTGGAGAAGCTTTTCTTTTGCAGAGACTGGAGAAGATGATTCAAAAGGTGAGTCTATCTCTTGTGCTAAAACAGGGATTCGGCTGTGTCTAGTTACAAAGGAGGACCTAACCACATCCTTCCGGGATGGCGGACAATGTTCATTCTCTGAAACGCAATGAAATACTTCTCCATTTTTAGGAGCAATTTTCTCTTTTTTACCCTCTTGGTGCAAAAAAGTAGAGAGGTCTCCTTGATGACCCAGCAAGTCTTCACTCTTGATGTCATCATCCTTAGATACCTTACTTTTTTGCATTGCTGCCATCTGGCCCATCTGTCCTTCAACATATGGATCAATGACTCTTGGAGAAATTTCTGAAGTTCCAATTGCCAAAAGCCTCATTATCTCATGATTTTTGTCTTGATTTGGCACCACACTAAAAGTCTGTGTCTTTGTCACATCAAGAGGTTTAGCAGTAGCTGAGTGATCCCTTTCTATAGTTACCAAATCTCCTGGGAGAGGGGAGATCTCAATACAACACTGCCCTTTACTTAACTTCTCATCGTCATTATCTGACCCTACAAGAATGCTTTTCTCTCCAGTTTCTCCAGGGAGGCTCTCAAATTCTCTCACAATCTGTCTGCTATGGTCAGGAAGGTCTCTTTGTCCCAGGTCTTGGGATTTGTCACACTCTCTAATAGGAACTTCCTTGGGTAACATGTCATGACCAATATGATCTAACTGAAGCCCCAGGTCTGTTCTGCATCCTCCACTAGCAGGCTCACCCTCTGTCACAACCAAGCCAGGGAAGTTCTCCCTTGGAGAGTAAAGTTCCACAGTGTGCTCCATGGGCTGAAGATCTTTCTTCTCTAGCTGCTGACCACAGTGAAAGCTCCCTGAAGTTGACTGTGTAGATGCCACAGAAGGTCTAGGAATTGTAATCTGGAGAAGGAGAATAAAAAATTTAAATGCAATAATGTGGAATATAAATTAAGATCATGATTTGAGATTTAACATGGTATTTTCTGTTCAAATTTATAAGAGGAGCACAGATGTCAACCAGATCTACCCAACTCATATTTAAAAGGAGAAATTCTGAATAAAAACAGATCGTAGTCAAGCTCCACTGTTCAGGAATTGTGCAGAACAGTCTCCTAGGTTCATTCTGCTCTTTCTTTAGCCTGTTTCGTGTACTGGAAAACTGACTTCTACAGGCTGTACCATCTATGCTCCCTTGCCTTCTGACTGCTGATCCAGTTTGCCAATGGGTGATACCAATGGAGCATCAGAGAATTGGCGGAAAGAGAGTCTGAGTATTAGTTCTTTAATTCTCCCTGCTTCCGTCCTGGGGACTGCAGCTTTGTGGTGGCTACATTCTACCACTCCTGGCCAAGCCCCTGTCAGGGCCCCTGTCACCAGGGTCCACTAGCAGCCCACCCTCCTCTTCAGGGCTCATGGTAGGAATGGCTCCCCCTACTGCTGCTCCCATCTGTTCTCTTAACTCTGCCCACACATCTCTAAAAGGTTCCTTTCATTTAATTTTCTCCAAGTACCTTTGCGTGTGCCATCTATTTCCTGCCAGAATCCAGACACAAGACTTAAAGGAAAAAAATCATTGACAAATTATTGTAAATTGAAAAACCTGAAATTTTCATGCATTTTATGGAAGTCATGCAATTTATTTCCCATAAACTCTATCTATTAAACAATGTTGGGAATATCACACCTTCCTAAAAACAATAGCATGCAAAGATATTTACTAATGTTTCAAATCTTCTTTAATATTTTAAGAACAAAGCCTATGATAAAGTGAAATTCTACCATCCTTCCCCTGAGGTCACTTCAATTCTATGTGTATTAAGACACCTACAGTTTCCACATCTTCACATTTGTTAAAAGTAACATGTAAGAAGGCAGAAAATGTCAACTACACAAACTGGTAAGGGGGAAAAAAATCAAGCAAGTTCAAATCACTTAATGAAGCCCATTAAGTTCTGGGAAAAATATAGAAATTGGTCTGAATCCAAAGAAAAATAAATTTGAAGCAGTCATGGGAGATTTAGCCTAGACTCAATCTCTAGCCCAAAGGCACCAAGAAACCATTGTGGTTCTACAGTCACCGAAGATGTTTGGATGTGTTTCTCTTTGTGTCAGGAATACAGCTAGGTTTAAGACATGTAAAGCTTTTCCAAAGCCCAGACCAGAGAGAAAACATCTAACTAACATCCTGGAATAGCTCCCGAATATAACCAGCGTCCTGAGTACTTGTCAGGTACTGTAAGATAGGCTATTTGGGTTCGGACATGACCTTCTGCGGTAAGCCCAGACCTACAGTAACCTTGGGAAAAAGGCAGTTAAGTTCTATCGGTGCTGCCACCCTTCAGGAAGCCACGTCATACTTTTCTCTCTCATTATTCCCAAATATATTCAGGCAGATGACAATTTTCTCGTATATTTTTAAAATCATGATATTGAAACCTAAAGCTACAGTAATTTACTTTTTAAGATCCAAAGAGTGTTAGTGGAAAGAAAAATATGTGAAATTAAACTAAATGCCAAATAACAAAGTTGGTGGCTATCCCTACATTCAAACTAAACTAATAACAGTTGATTCCAATTCATGGCAACTCCATGTGTTTCAGAGTAGAACTACGTTTCATAGTGTTTTCAATGGCTGGGATCTTTCAGAAGCACATCGCCAGGACTTTCTTCCAAGGCACCTCTGTGTGGATCCAAACTGCTCACCTTTCGGTTAGTAGCTGAGCACTTAACCATCTACACCACCCAAGGACTCCTAGTCTTTACTACTATAAAAACCCATTGCTGTCGAGTCAATTCCGACTCAAAGCAACCCTACAGGACAGAGTAGAACTGCCCCATAGAGTTTTCAAGGAGTGCCTGGTGGATTTGAACTGCTGACCTTTTGGTTAGCAGCTGTAGCACTTAATCACCATGCCACCAGGGTTTCCAGACTCTACAGAGGTGGGTAAAATTGAAAATGCCATGCCTCAAAACCTAAGTAAATAAAAAGCAAAAGTTGCTGTTTCCCTTCTTCTGTCATCCCACTCCCCAGAGACAGTTACCCATTAATTACAGTGTAATGTGTATTTAAGGGGATATGAAGCTATAAAATTTTTGTAGGGGCTAACAGAAATCATAAGTAGGCCACAATTTACTTCCAAAGAATAGAAGTCCCAGAAAAGACGGACTGAAGTAGAAATATTTCTTGGTTGGCCTGTAATTACAAATCCCATACATGGCTATATGATTTAACAGGCATTTTTCCTAGCCCTTTCATACAGTGTTGGAAGAAATTTTAAGGATTAATCTAATTCAACCGTCCCTGACCACCACAGCCTATACAGACTTCTATCACAGCACCTGTAACACTTAAACTGTGTTCCTTTACTAGACTGAAGACACTTGAAAGCAGTGATGTGACTCACTAGGCCTTTTATTCCTGGTGTCTGCCGCAGTACCTGACACACAGAAGAAGCTCAACAGATGCTGAATATGTAAATCACTCAACCACTGAATGCTTGGGTTCCTTCCACAAAACCTCTCCCAAGTGATAGTGACAGACTATATATTTGAACACTTCTCAAATGGGCTCCCTTTACTTCCCAAGGCAGTGCACAGGCATAACTCGTCCTATTGCACTTTTGCTTTATTGAACTTCAGAGACATTGTGTTCTTTACAAATTGAAGGCTTGTGGCAACCCTGCATTGAGCAAGTCTATAGGTGCCATTTTTCCAACAGCATGTGCTCGCTTCGTGTCTCTGTGTCACATTTTGGTAATTTCAAACTTTTTCATTATTATTATATCTGTGATGGTGACCTGTGATCTTTGATGTTACTACTGTAATTGTTTGGGGGCACCATGAACCGCTCCTATATAAGACGGCAAACTCAACTGATAAATGATGTGTGTTCTGACCGCTCCACTGACTGGCTGTTCCCGTCTCTCTCCCTTTTGTCGAGCCTCCCTATTCCCTGAGACACGGTAATGTTGAAATTAGGCCAATTAATAACCCTACAATGGCTTCTAAGTGTTCAAGTGAAAGGAAGAGTCCCACGTCTCTCACTTTACATCAAAAGCTACAAATGATTAAGTTTAGTGAGGAAGGCATGTCGAAAACCGAGACAGGCTGAAAGCTAGGCCTTTTGTGTCAAAGTCAGCCAAGTTGCGAATGTAAAGGAAAAGTTTCTGAAGGAAATTGAAAGTGCTACTCCAGTGAACACACGAATGATAAGAAAGCAAAACAGCCTTATTGCTGACATGGAGAAAGTTTTAGAGGTCTGGATAGAAGATCAAACCAGCCACAACATTCCCTTAAGCCAAAGCCCAATCCAGAGCAAGGCCCCAACTCTCTTCAATTCTATGAAGCTGAGACCAGTAAGGAAGCTGGAGAAGAAAAGTTTGAACCTAGGAGAGGTTTGGTTCATGAGGTTTAAGGGAAGAAGCCATCTCGATGACATAAAAGTGCAAGGTGAAGCAGCAAGTGCTGATGTAGAAGCTGCAGCAAGTTATCCAGAAGATCTGGCTAAGACAATGGATGAAGGTGGCTACACTAAACAACAGATTTTCAATGTAGACGAAACAGCCTTATATTGGAAGAAATGACACCTAGGACTTTTACAGCTAGAGAGCAGTAGTCAACGCCTGACTCCAAAGTTTCAAAGGACAGGATGACTCTCTTGTCAGCGGCTAATGCAGCTGGTGACTTTAAGTTGAAGCCAATGCTCATTTACCACTCTGACAATCCTAGAGCCCTTAAGAATTATGCTAAATCTACTCTGTCTGTTTTCTATAAATGGAACAACAAAGCCTGGATGACAGCATATCTGTTTACAACATGGTTTATGGAATATTTTAAGGCCACTGTTGAGATCTACTGTTCAGAAAAAAAAAAGATGCCTTTCAAAATAATACTGCTCATTGTCAATGCAGCAGGTCACCCAAGAGCTCCGACGGAGATGTACGAAGAGATTAATGTTGTTTTCATGCCTGCTAACACAACATCTATTCTGCAGCCCATGGGTCAAGGAGTAACTTTGACTTTCAAGCCTTATTATTTAAGAAATACATTTTGTAAGGCTATAGCTGCCACAGATAGATTCCTCTGATGAATCTGGGCAAAGTAAATTGAAAACCTTCTGGAAGGGATTCACCACTCTAGATACCATTGCGAACATTCATGATTTATGGGAAGAGGTCAAAAGATCAACATTAAAAGGAGTTTGGAAGAAGTTGATTCCAACCCTCATGGATGACTTTGAGGGGTTCAAGACTTCAGTGGAGGAAGTAATTGCAGATGTGGTGGAAATAGCAAGAGAACTAGAATTAGAAGTGCAGCCTGAAGATGTGACTGAATTACTGCAATCTCATGATAAAACTTTAATGGATGATGAGCAAACAAAGTGGTTTCTTGAGATGGAATTCACTCCTGGTGAAGCTGCTGTGAACATTGTTGAAATGACAACAAAGGATTTAGAATATTACATAAACTGAGCTGATTCAAGCAGCAGCAGGGTTTGAAAGGACTGACTCCAATTCTGAAAGAAGTTCTACTGTGAGTAACATGCTATCACACAGCATCACATGCTACAGAGAAATCTTTCATGAAGAGAAGGGTCAATCAATGCAGCAAACTTCATTTTTGTCTTATCTGCTAATCAAAACATTGTAATTTAATATTTCTGCTGTAAACCAAAGCTTGGTTTTATTTTACTCCTTATAAATCCATATTGTTCATCATCTTTTTAGAAATTATTGATAGTGGACCAATTTTATCAGTTTGTACCCTGGGGGAGAAAAATCTAACTTCCAAAAATGACCCCAAACTAATTTCTTTTCAATCTAGCAAATGTATCCACCCTTAAAAACGTTATCTAAAAATCATACACACACTATTTAATTATCAGTCGTTTCATCTATATGGATAAGGAAAGTCCTACACAAGGTTCACAAATCTGTATTAAGAAATTAAGAGAACTTTCTAACCAGGGCCACAATAGATGGTCCCAGATAGAATGGGAGAAAATTGCAGAACAAAACTCAAAATCTTAAATAAAGGCCAGACTTACTGGACTGGCAGAGACGTGGGGAACCCCCACGATTATCACCCTAAGATACCATTTAAACTCTGAGTTGAAACTACTCCTAGAGGTCATCTAAATAATATAACAGATTGGCTCATAAAATAAACAATATCACTCGTGAGTATTGTGCTTTTATATAAAAAAAAAACCACTGTCGTCGATTCTGACTCATAACGACCCTACAGGACAGAGCAGAATTGCCCCATAGGGTTTCGAAGGAGTGGTTGATGGATTCGAACTGCCCACCTTTTGGTTAGCAAGCGAGCTCTTAACCACTGTGCCACCAGGGTCCCTCCTTTTATATATATTTACCTGTGGGTTTTTTTTTTTTTTTTGACTATGCAAAGGCATTTGACAGTGTGGATCATAACAAATTATGGACAACACTATGAAGAATGGGAATTCCAGAACACTTAACTGTGCTCATGAGGAACCTGTACATAGATCAAGAGGCAGTCGTGCAAACAGAACAAGGGGATACTGCGTGGTTTAAAGTCAGGAAAGGTGTGTGTCGGGGTTGTATCCTTTCACCATATTTATTCAATCTGTATGCTGAGCAAATAACCTGAGAAGCTGGAGTATATGAAGAAGAATGGGGCATCAGGATTGGAGGAGGATTCATTAACAACCTGCTTTATGCAGATGACACAACCTTGCTTGCTGAAAGTGAAGAGGACGTGAAGCACTTACTGATGAAGATCAAAGACCGCAGCCTTCAGTATGGATTACACCTCAACATAAAGAAAACAAAAATCCTCACAACTGGACCAATAAGCAATATCATGATAAGTGGAGAAAAGATTGACATTGTCAAGGATTTCATTTTACTTGGATCCACAATTAACACCCATGGAAGCAACAAATGATGCTTTGCATTGGGCAAATCTGCTGCAAAAGACCTTTTTAAAGTGTTGAAAAGCAAAGATGTCAGCTTTGAAGACTAAGGTGCGCCTGACCCAAGCCATGGTGTTTTCAATCGCCTCATATGCATGCAAAAGCTGGACAATGAATAAGGAAGACCAAAGAAGAACTGACACCTTGGAATTGTGATGTTGGCAAAGAATACTGAATATACCATGAACTGCCAAAACAACGAACAAATCTGTCTTGGAAGAAGTACAACCAGAATGTTCCTTAGAAGCAAAGATGGCAAGACTAATCTCACATACTTTGGACATGTTATCAGGAGGGATCAGCCCCTGGAGAAAGACATCATGCTTGGTAAGTAAAGCAGAGAGTCAGCAAAAAAGAGGAAGACCCTCAACAATATGGATTTACACAGGGGCTGCAACAATGGGCTCAAGCACAACAAGGATTGTGAGAATGATGCAGGACTGGGCAGTGTTTCATTCTGTTGTACACAGGGTCGCTATGAGTCAGAACCGACTCAACAGCACCTAACTACAACAACAACCATATATACATAAATCATCTATTTGAGATGAAACAGTCAACGTTTACCCTAAAGTAAAAATAAGAGGTGGGGGCGGGGGGCAGCAAAGCAAGAATAATGGAAACAGAACAACCAGAACAGAAATGAGAATGTTGACGCAATGTAGAAAATGTAGCCAATGTCACTGAACAATATGTGTAGAAATTATTAAATGGGAACCTAATTTGCTGTGTAAACTTTCACCAAAAACTCAAAAAATAAGTGAAAAAAAAAGAAATTAAGAGAACTAAAGACTTGAAAAAGAGTGTATGAAGTTCTCATGTTAACTTAATATGCCAACTATATTGGTAATAAATAGCTCTGACATAGTTTAAGATATCAGTACATTTTCCCTTCATAGCATTATAAAAAAAAAACCAAGCCTGAGTGAAAAACGTACAAACTCAGTTTCCCATCAGAATATATCTTATTTTAAAATATTCAGATAGATGGTAACATGGTTTATCATATCGTCCAAGCTAGAGCATATAATCAGAGCTGGAAGGGATCTGGAGAGATTAATTGGCAGTACTCTCTATTCTACATATCTGCAGTAAGTTAGGGAAGTAGCAGTAACTTCTGTTTCACAAAATAAAACTCTAAGTTTCAAGAAGAGAATCAAAATAAATATATTATTTTTCATCCATTGGTCAAATTTTCTGGGTTAAGACCAAGAAAATAAAGAAAATGGGGAGAAGTTTAATACCTCAGAAATAAATATACAAATGATGTAGCTGATATTTCATTAGAGACCTTCAGTTAAGGAGAATGTTTTTATTTAAAGATAATCTGAAAATAAGGTCAAACATATAATATCAAATATATAAACATAAGCCTCTTAACAACTTAACAGACAAAACACTGCAGAGAACCATGAGAAAAACCGCTGCAGACAGTATTGATGGGAGCGGCAAAAACTACTGGGAGAAATGAGCAAAAGCTTTAAGGAAGCCTTTATGGAGGGAGGCACACCAGAGCACTGTGGAAACGTGCTGGAGCAACAGTCAGCGCACAGCATAACAGAGTCAAAGAGAAGAAGGAAGTGAATCCGGGCATGTGGAAAGGGGAAAGGGGGGATAAGAGGAAATGTGGGGAAGAAAAAGAGATGGGGGAGAGGGAGGGAGCTGGCCCTGTCTCTAGCCTACATGGTACCTTCGTACAATTTGGAAAAGGATATCCCTCAAAGAGGAAACAGCCCCACACCAAGATGTCTGTGCAGTGAACACCCTGCGTAACAACAAAGCCATCCTGGGAAAGAAGGAAAACAGACTAACTGTTTTGGGGAGAAGCAAGGCAGGTATTTGTTTCCTTATTCTGAAGTACAGGTAAATTCCTACGGAGCTTTTTAGACAAAGTGAAATTCCGCTGGTATCTTTTCCCACTGATTTGCACGTGCAATGTAGTTTCTGGTGATTTGGAAGGGAAGACTGCCAGATGATTACAGAATTTAAGGGAAGTTGGCAACTCCCACCCACGTAAGGGCATATGTACCTCTGGTGCCTGAGATTTGTGTACACAGTTCCTTACTGCCTGGAGGCTTCTCAGGGCTCCTCCTGCTCACACACCACAGGGGGCTTCACTGCTTACTGACAACAGGGTTAACAGGCATCTCCAGGTGACTGATGGAGACCGAAAGTAAACAGTGGTGTTTCTTCAACACGTTCCCCTGCAGAAGACGTGTACAGCAACTGCCTTTAGCTGCTCCAGACCTACTGAAGCAGAAGTTCTGAAAGTAAGGCCTGGGAGTCTGCATTTTACACAATGGCCCTCAAAGCTGGAAAACTACTGCTTTAGAGGAATGGGCTGAGGTTACAAAATAGCAAAGGAATAAAAGGATCGGGCCTAGCAACTGTACAATGTAAAGTACAAACCATGAACAGTTAAATATACACCTTCCTCACCAAATTATGAGCTCAAAAAACTCTAGAATTATGAATTAAAAAAAAACACACATACACACACACATACACATACAGACAGATAGCTCCTGTGGCCTAATCATAAATGTTATTATGAAATTAGGTTAGAGTGACGTTTTGTGTATTGAGTTGCTATGACAAAAGGAAACCTCAGTTGAAAAAAAATTTCGCACTGGGGACTATAGAATTTAGTTCAAACATCACTCCCTGTGCCCATTTACCAAACTTAGGCTTCTACTGAAGAATCGTAGTCGATCAACTGTTAGTTCTTTCTCAATAGCACCCCTGAGTGGATAACAGAGAAGAAGGACACGAACGCATCTCTTACCGCCGTAAGGGGTCCTTCTGCTTGCGCCTCCATTGGACTTGTGGGTGTGGCTGCAATCAGCTGGCTAGCAGTTCCAGCCTGGAGTTCCAGCCTGTCGGTACACTGTTCTGAAGCAGCAGTGGCAGGGCACTCTCCAGAAAGGGCTAAGAGCACACCTGAGCTTTCCTTCTTTAAATGATCATTTTCTACCCAAGGGCTTAATCTGAGCTTTTCATCTTGAGGCGATTCCTCCAGGACGTGAAGCACTTCAGGTTCCTCATCAGAAGGGCTTCCAGTTGTTTTATGCCCTAAAGCCTCATTTGTCCTAAAATCCCGAAGGTCCTGCTCCTTGTCCACAATCACCCATTCTTTGGAATCGACCTCCTGCTTGCAGGAGCTCAGGTTGACTGCTATAAATCCATTGCTGCCACCACCATCTGCCTGCTCAGGGGTGTTGGCAGAGGCAGGCTTAGAAGCATCTGGAAGGTATTCCTCATCATAATGCCAGACGCGGTCCACACGGGACACAACAGGAACACAAGGCTTATGAAGCAGAGCAGGGAGAGTAGATTCCTTTCCTGCACTGGAATCTTTCTGCATCTTCTCCAGGCTTAAGGAAATGGAGAGAAGTTACTCAGTTGTCCTAGGGGAATGACTACTGCATAACCTACAAAGTCCTATACAGAACTAGTATTCACACAGAGAAAAGAGACAAAACACGGACAGAGCATAAGGAAGGTTGCACAGGTTGATAATGCTCTTTTCCACCTGTCATAATCCTCTTTTGGAAGATGGAGCCAAGGGAGGAAGCTATCTCTCCAGCTCCTGGGCAGGAGAGAAGCCTAACTGGGGTTGACTTGTGTGGTCCACTTCACCTTTGCTTTGCCAATTCAGTCACAAGGCCCTCTGCTCTCTGTGGGACTGAGGAACAACCTATCTAAGGGGCGTTTGCCTCACCAGAAGCCCTACAAAGGAAATGAAAAAGCTAGTATACGTAAGCAAAGGCTTTCTGCATTTGTCTTCAGAGATGCATGTGAATGTATGCTAATTCAAAGAACCATTTCTAATGATGGGGCTTTTAAGAGCAGGCATTGTATTGTACCAGTTCAACAAAACCACACAGTACCTGTTCAATCAGCCCACTATGCACACACAGGGCCACATATGGTAGTGGGGGTGGTGGTGGTGGTTTGGGAGAAGCTTCAGGGAATATTTCCAGTTTTGTTGGATTAAAAGGCGGTTAACATTGCGTACAAATCTCTCTACTGGCTGAAGGGCAATAGTGTGACTAGTGGTATGTGACTACACTGGCTTCTGAGATCTGATCTCATCTGCAGGGAAGCACACTAAGAAATGACTTTTTCCTTTCCTTCAGTTTGTGATTTGCTGCTGCTGTGTGCCATGGGGTCGATCTGACTCCCAGTGGCCCTGTAGGACAAAGTAGATCTGCCCCACAGGCTGTTTCCTAGGCTGTATTCTTTGCAGGAGCAGATCGCCAGGTCTCTTCTCCCATGAGGCTCCTGGTAGGCTGGAGCCACCGGTGAGTTCAAACCCCTAACCTTTTGGTTAGTAGCTGAGTGCTCAACTATTCTGCCACCAGGGTTCCAAGTTTGTGATTAGGTGCCTCAATTCCTTCAACCGTTCCCTAGTCATTCTAGGTTCGTCGGCTTGAGTTCTTTTTTTTTTTTAAACTTCTGTTCTCAACTCTCTCATCTCTTAACTTTGCCCTCAGCATGGACTCTTTTTTTTTTAACTCCATTCTTTTGATAGGCTAATTCTTTACCTAACTAAACTTTTTGGAACCCTGGTGGCATAGTGGTTAAGAGCACGGCTGCTAACCAACAAGTTAGCAGTTCAAATCCACTAGCCGCTCCTTGGAAACCCTATGGGGCAGTTCTCCCCTGCCCTATAGGGTCACTATGAGTCGGAACCGACTCAATGGCACGTAACAACAACTAAACTTTTATCCCATTGCACTCTTACATTTATTCCCAATCTTAGCCACAACTCAAAATGTTGAAAACACTGCCTCAACCTTAATCCATCCCTCTGATCCTATCAACACGTAGATACATGCTTACATCACCTCACTGAGACTGCATGATTCCAGTGCAAGAAAGAACACATACATGGGAAGAACTTTAAAACGGGTGCTGGACTGAACAAGGCCAGAAGTGGCTGAAATGTCTACAGACACAGTAACTACAATGTCAATCAAATCCCTGGTCCTTCTAACCTACCATTTCATTGCCAGTAGTAACCACCGGGGACGTACCATTGAAGAAGTGTGACTGTTATTAAAGCTACTCAGGTCTTAATAACTATTGAAACCTTTAGTATTCATAAATATATCCCAAACTTTAAAAAACATTCATTTCTATCTTCTATTATCAAAATTTCTTGTGAGGATAATGGGTCTCATAACCATGAACTACAAACTGTGGTTACCTATGTACAGCTCTCCAAAGTTCCACCTTTTCTTTCTCTCTAAGTAGACTGTGAACTATGGAGGGCCAGAATGATAAACTTACTCATGTCTATTTTTCTGACAGAACTTTGCTCATAACAGGCCCTCATGAAACTGAACTGAACTGCCTGTCCCTTGTGTAGATCTGATTTTTCCCCTCCTTCACGTACTCCTATCCCTGCTGCCGAATGTTTTCCTTATCACGCTCTCTCCAACACTACGATCCATCTTCTTCATTTTAAGAAGAGAGATCACCTTCCAAATAGAGTTGCTGCAAAAATGTTCATTTAACTTGTACCTAGTGCTCTGAAGTTACCAGCTCCCACTGCTCAGCTCCCAAAACCAAAGGCCGTGCTAGAGAACTTGTAACAATATCAGAAGTCAATTCACATTAAGAATTAGGATGATGATACTTAAAAACATGGATGAAGATGAGAGCTTAATTAGTGATACAAAAATGCAAAATGTCTTTTCTGAAAGATTTTACTATACTGGAAATAAGAGAGTACCTTAGTACTTTAAAAAGAAAGAAAAGAAAAACTATTTTATACCAGGTTTCAAGAAACTTTTCAGTGTCTGGCTTTGGCTCCAGCGTCAGTCGTTTTTCCAGCTCAAAGCTGTGGATGGAACGTAACTTTCGCACCAACGGAAAGTCTCTGTCTGGCTGAGTAATCTCTGAGCGGACCCGAATGGGTGAGCCAAGGCTTGGAGCATTCAGCATACCGTTTGCTTGACCGTGGCTGTTTTCCTCTTCTGTAGCAGCCTAGACAAAACATAAAACCATGAAAAACATTCCAGGTACTGTACACGGAAGGAATCACTGAAGCCTTTCAAAATAAAACAAACCAATGACTGGGATGTGTTTTCAGAAAATGAGGCTATTTTGACTAGTTTACTTCATCACATACCTGCCTGCTGCTGCTGTTGCCGTCAGTTGCCGGCGAGTCGATTCCGACTCGTGGTGACTCCCTGTGTGCAGAGTAGAACTGCTCCATAGCGTCTTCAAGGCTACTGTTACCTTTAGGAAGCAGACTGCCAAGTCCTTCTCACGTGGAGCTGCTGGGTAGGTTTGAACCGCCAACCTTTCTGTTAGTAGTCAAGTACTTAGCTGCTTGCACCACCCAGTACTGACCCTTTATTAAATGAGTTTTCTTAATTTATCCTCAATTTCAGTATTACTTTAGTTTTGGGTTTTTGGTTGTTTTTTTTTTTTTTTTTTGGTTTGGGGGAGTACTGGGATACCCAGTCTAAAAAGTATTTAACGACCTTGGCTTTTTACATTAATGCCTGACTAGATGTCAGAATCAACTCCACGGCATCAAGTTTGGTTTTTTTTCAGATGCTTGCAAGGACCTCATTCCACTAAACTAAATCCTGTAAAGGACATTCTCTTTAAGACATAAGTGGTCTCACAAGAGGTAGGAGATGATGCCAAGCCTGAGCAGCCCCTGCCTCAATTCCCCTTTTTAAACAAAACAAACCCCCTGAGGCTCCAGCAGCAAGGAGCTGGGGCAGGCCACTGGGGTGGGGTTGTCTAAGGACAGATGTCTACAGCAGCACAACCATCAGAACAATTATACCATCAAATCTTGGATTAGGAGTGGGGTGAGACAGAGAAGTCTGAGATTTCTGTTCTGATCAGAGACCCTCAAAAAGAGGCCCATTTTCTACTAGCAGAAGCAGAAGCTAATCTCTGAAAGAAGGTTTCCCCAATCTCCATTTTAGGCCTACAGGACTCCCACCAATTATCAATTAATGAGTCAGACACATGAGAAGGCATGCCACCATGACTAAGAGCCCGCAGAAATAATAATAATTTTTAAAAAATCTGAAACTCCCAAAGACTGCAGATACCAAACTGGTTCAGATACTCCACAGCATCCAGCTTAGTGAACTGCAAAAAGAATGTGCTCAATAAAGTTTGCTGAGCAGGTGAAAGAATGAATAAATCCAGAAACCATGGCTTTTCTTCAATATTTAACTTATAATGCTTTATGTAGATGTCCAAGATGAGTCAAGAACTTGTGATGTGCAGCAGCATGTATTATAGATTCAAGAAAATGGACATCACCATAATAACAAATAATAGACAATGCCTTAGAGCAAAATCATTTGCTATATAAGTTTCGTTGAGATTAAATAGTGAAAATGAGTGAAAGAAAACTAAAATAATTACGCTCTTCTAGGTAAGGCGCATCTCTCTCTCACATACACACACACACAGGCACCCAGAATGGCCGGCAACAGATGAACGTCACTAGTGATCTTCTCCTATAAGAACAGTGAGCTCCTCGTGCCATAAAGACAGCCAGAGTGGACACTACAAAATCTGACACTGACACTCTGACTACTTACCACCACTCATTCCTCATTGCTATTAGTCGAGCTAGTGCTTATTCAATAGTTAGGTCGCATTTTTCACAGAAGATTTTTACAAATGACTCCCAGGATTGAAAGTACACACACTTGATTTTTTAAATTATATACTTTAACGATTGTCCAAAAATAGACCAAGCACCTCAGAACTGATCATAGAAGATTTATTTCAGGATATAGATATTTTCCATTCATAAAGCATGAGGATGGCACAGGACCAGGCAGTGTTTCCTTCTGTTGTACATGGGGTCACTGTGAATCACAACTGACTCGACACCTAACAACAACAACAGCTTTCTATCAATCATGTTAACAGGTATGAGCCCAAAGCCTCATGTTTTCATGTCATTTATTCAACAACCACTCTCATTTCACACCTATATATTTAACCTCCTTCTCAGCCAAACCTTTATAACAACACCTAGGAAGCACCAAAAACTAATTGATTTGTGATTCATTGTCCCTCCTTTCCATTTATCCTCACCTTCTATGAAAAAGGAAATGACAAGGAACAGAAGAATCAAAGAGAAGTTTTGGGATAATCTGCCCCAAGACAACTAAGAATTAACCATTTAATTCAGAAATGTGTATCTCTCTTACACTGAGAAGTAGGCCTGCTTGCAGTCTGTCATGGATTGAATTATGTCCCCCCAAAAATGTGTGTATCAGTTTGGCTGGGCCAAGATTCCCACTGTTGTGTAGTTGTCCTCCATTGTGTGATGGTAATTTTATGTTAAAGAGGATTAGGCTGGGATTGTAACATCACCCTTAACCAGGTCACATCCCTGATCCAATGTAAAGGGAGTTTCCCTGGGGTGTGGTCTGCACCACCTTTTAAATACAAGAGAGGAAAGGAAAGGGAAGCAAGCAGAGAGGGGGGACTTCATACCATCCAGAAAGCAGTGCCAGGAGCAGAGTGCATCCTTTGGACTGGGGGTCCCTGGGTGGAGGAGCTCCTAGTTTGGGGGAAGACTGATGAGAAGGCCCACAGAGAGAGAAAGCCTTCCCCTGGAGCTGATACCCTGAATTTCAACTTCTAGCCTACTAGACTGTGAGAAAATAAATTTCTCTTGGTTAAAGCCCTTCACTTGTGGTATTTCTGTTATAGCAGCACTAGATGACTAAGACACAATCCTCATGAAGTAAAAAAATCATGTCATTTATTCAACATTCACTTTGTCAACTCGTGATCAGACTGATGCTGTCCCCTTTCCAACCTTCACTTCCCCACCTCCATTTGAGACAGTTTTCAGAATGGGTGCTCATAGCCCCACTGGCCCACCCTAAAGAAAGTGTTCAGAGTCTTGTCACACTATTTGGAAAGGCTACTCACTTCTGTTCTATAGCTGTCTCTTCTTTTAGTCTCAGTGTCTGATTACTTATAAAAAAAACAACCTGCATCTTTCTCACAAAATACAAGGTAACGATTAATGTTTGGTGTTATAGGTTGAGTGTTATGGGCAAAACTAGTAAAAATATCACAATTACAAATATTTAAATCACTAGCAACACACTGTTCTGTCCACTTCTCATTAAAAATTGAGAATCATGATACTTTGCTATAGCAACAGGAGAAAAATAGTAGGCACATAGGAAGACGTCATTTCCTATGCAAGAAATACGCACTTTACAAATCCCAAGCTTTATCTTGTTCCTGTTGGCATCCATCTCTTCCCAAACATCCTTCTCCTGGGGACGAGGGTGTCCCGGAGACCCAGGCAATCTATCTGGTGATACACCAACAGGGATGCCATTCTCGCCATCACTAAGCTGCTCATCTGGAAACACCTCATCTGTATTTTCTCGAAGCAAGTCTCCGGGAATGGGAGTGGCATTGGCAATTCTGAAAATGATGGGAGAAAAAAATACAGACGTTAAAAATACTGGAATAAAAAAATATGGTGAAGACTATTCTACATTTTGTTTCCGGATTTAAACGATGAGGTCCACACACAATTAAAAGAGTAAAACAAAAAAGAAAAAAAAAATCCTTGGGAACTTAGGTCAGACCATTTCTACAGAATAAAAAAACTTCTAAAATTTGATCAATTAGACTTTCAAGCTAGAGCCCTGGTGGCGCAGTGGTTAAGAGCTCGGCTGCTAACCAAAAGGTCAGCAGTTTGAATCCACCAGCCCCTCCTTGGAAACTCTATGGGGCAGTTCTACTCTGTCCTATAGGGTGGCTATAAGTCAGAATCAACTTGATGGCAATGGATTTTTTGGTTTTGATTTTAAAATACAAAGTCTAAGACAATAAATAACGCAATGATTTGACGATCACCTTAAAGTTAGAAACAACGTATGTTATATTTTCCAAAAAATGTGTCAATTATAATAAATTTTCTATTCTTTACCCATTACTCTTAGAGAATAACAAAAATTATAAGCAGGAGGATGTCAGATAAAGTAAGGAAATAAGCAGGTGTCAGATCAGCTATGTTATTTTTAGAATAGTGTGAGAATTGTGCATTTGCTTTTTCATTTACAGACTTTTTACTAAGCACCAATTACATGCAAGGCCCTAGAGATACACACAGGAGGAAGCAAATTCTTGCCCTCTAGGGCAAATGAGACATTCTGCAATTATACAGTTCATACAGCTCTGCCTGAATGAACTGGGCAGGGGGGCGGGGGGAACTGAACTCAACAATTTTGAGTCGGCTTCCTAATTAGCACATATGTAAATATTAATTGGCACTTGTCTCTGTATTTCTTTCAAAGTAAATTGATGTCCTACTGACATGGTGGTCCTCTCTCCCTTAGACCGTTGGCCCCTGAGGGGCTTTTCCAGTTCTCAATTATCATTCACTAGTGATAAGGCCCCTGCCAGCTCTCATGTTCCATAACTACATTGTATACACTAGGTTGTTTTATTTTTTGTTGTTTTTTTAAATATTGCTGACTGAACACAGTATTTAGCACAAAATGCAACCTCTTCTTAGAAGTGATCTGGCACTCGTGAAGAGTGTGCTCCTTAGCTCAAGCAGATACATGAGACTAAATGGGCAGCTCCTGTCTGGAAGTGAGATGAGAAGGCAGAGAGGGTCAGGAGCTGGCTGAATGGACACGGGAAATCATGGGTGGAAAGGAGGAGTGTGCTGCCACAATATAGGGAGAGCAATTAGGGTCGCAAAATAACGTATGTATAAATTTTTGTATGAGAGACTAAGTTGAATTGTAAACTTGCACGTAAAGTACAATAAAATAAAAAAAAAGGAAGGGATCTGGAATGTCTAAAAGGAGAAAAAACATTCTTCCATAGATTATACTGGCACATGTAATTATTATGAGGAGCATAATAGGCATTTTCTTGGTGAACCACTCTATGGATAGCAGCTATACCGGGGCCCAGATGTCATAAGTACTGCATATACTTATGAGAACAAAGATCAATGATTTTTCAGGGATTTGTTCCATCTGATTCGACAACTTTCACTGCTACCTTTCTCTACATGGGTCAATGATAGAAGATGAACTTCTTTATCAATAGGTTATAGGTATCCAATCTAGAAAAGTACTGATAATGTTTCCCAGGAAAAAACCTTATAGCCCTGTAAAGTACTTCATTTAATTCTGACACTGGGAACATATTAAAGAAGGTAGTTAGGCCTAAATAGTTCAAATGAAAGGATTTATTACAAAGGTAAAGATCAGAAATAAATTGGCTAAGAGACTTTTCAGATATGAGTTCAGGATAATTCATTTACTGATGCGAGCAATCACAACGGACACTAACATATCTGTGTCATGTGGTAACTCAAACATTTACTGAAAGAATTTCCTCTATTCCTGAGAAAAGAGAAAGGCAAATAATTCAGTATTTGAATTCTGGAAGCTGAGTCTACTAGCCTCATATTTTTTCCCATTTTAATCACTGTGTTCTTCTAAATCCCTTTTCCCTTATGCCCAGCCACCATTTTGCTCTTCTCCCACTATCCCAAATCCTTAGCATTTCCTTCTCCCACTTTTCAGGAAATAAACCACACCCCCACCTGTGCAAAGTGCTTCTGTTTTTACTCAGAATCCCAGCTTCCCTCTTATCTCTTATGTTTCAGTATAATACCACACATCTCAAGGAACTCTCCTATCTTTTCCATCTAGGTTCTCCTCCACATGACCCAGGTTCCTTTCTCACCCCTAGTTTCCCCTCTGCAGTTTATTTCCCTTTTTACTCCTTCCATAATTATTATTTTCTTCCCCTCTCCTGTAACTCTGATCTAAATCTGGAATTTGAGATATGGAAAGAAATAATTCCTTCCCAGGAAGATTATATCATGCTCAGGAATACAAAGGAGTGAAAAAGTATATGTGAGAGTATTATTAGCGTACGGCCTGTGTATGCAGGCAAAGTGTAAAGTATAGAAGCTGATTCCGGAAAAAAGGAAAGAGAAGTGTGGAAGAACTGGACGGGCGTCAAGTAAAGTTGTAAGAACAGTTATCACCTTCACATTCCCATCCTGTTACCTACGGCAGGGGTCCGCATGCTAGGGCCTATAAGCTCAATTTGGCCTGCCCACCTCTTTTTGTAAATAAAGTGTTACTGGAACATAACCACACTCATTTGTTTACATATTGTTTCTGGCTACTTTTGCACAACAATAGCAGCCATAGTGATGACAGAGACTGGATAGCCGGCAAAAATGTATCCTGACCCTTTACAGAAAGAGTCTGCTGACTACTGACCTAAGGGATCTTCTTATCTTCCCCTGAACTTTCATTCTCCCTCCGCGAAGAAATTCAGTGTTCTGGGCCGTGCGTGACCAGTTTTTTCTCTTTAACATAGATTCTCCAGGGTTTTCCAGGTCTTCTACCATGTCATTTGCAAACAGATAATCCAGAGGTTGGCAAACTTTTTCTTAAAGGGTCAGGTAGTAATTGGTTTAGGCTTGTGGGCCTAATACTTTTGTAGGCAAGATTCATCCAAGGACCAAAAGTATGACGAGAAACAAAGTATTCACACAGTCTCAAAGTATCTTCCTATAGATACTTATTACTTCTAAGAAAAAAATAGTTAACTTTACAGTGGAGAAACCCGGCCAACACTACTTTAACCAAGTGTTCCAAGTGAACAGCATCAGTAATGAGACATACTGATATTTTGTTCCTCCTTGTTTAATGCCGTCGGTTTACTGCTATCATCTTCCCTCCGCTCTCTGCTTTAGGAGTATTTTAGAGATTCTGATATGTAGTGTTTTCATTATTATTTTTTTACAACTTCTGTTTGTATTTTCCCTTTTACCCAAGAGTAGTTTAATAGGTTTTAAAATTTCCAAAGGTCTTTAGTTTTTTTGTTTTTGTTAGTAATTTCCAGCTTTATTGCAGTGTGATCAGAACTACTTATTTTTTCTTTGTGACCTGATTAATATCTGACCAATTTTTGTGAATGCTCCAAGGGCACCTGAGCAGAAGTTGCAACCTCTATCATCAGGGTGTTGAGTTAGAAAAATATGCGTAAAATCTATCTTATTAATCATGTTGTTTAAGTCTTCTGTCTTCTCTTTGTTCATTTGATCTGTCTTGAACTGAGAATGGTGTATTCAGATCTCCAGTTAGTGTGTTTCTATGTCTTGACAATAGGGATTGACACAGTGGCTGCAACAATGGGCTCAAACAGCAATGACTGTGTGAGGATGGTGCAGGATCAGGAAGCATTTCGTTCTGTTGTATATAGGGTTGCTAAGAGTTGGAACCGACTCAGTGGCACATAACAACAACAATCTTTGTCTCCTTGAATCTGTCTTAAATAGTTTTTGCTTCCTAAAGGTGGTTCTTGTGATTCTGGTGACTAAGTAATAATAAATGTTATGTTCCAACTGTGAACTGTGTGTGGCACTTAGCGCTTCTTTGTTACTTTTAATGTTTTTTTGGTTTAAATTCTACTTTGTCTGATAGTAGGATCGTACTCTTTTCTTACTGTTTCCAATTGTCTGTTATATCTTTGTCCTTTTCTGAAAGTTTTTTTTAATTTCTTTCTTTAGGTGTACACAGCATATGTATGTTGTTGTTGTGGCTGTTAGGTGCCGTCAAGTCGGTTCTGACTCATAGTGGCCACCAATGTCCAACAGAACAAAACACTGCCCAGTCCTGCGTCAGCCTCACAATCACTGTTATGCTTGAGCCCATTGTTGCAGCCACTGTGTCAATCCATCTCATTGGGGGTCTTCTTCTTTTTCGCTGACCCTCTACTTTACCAAGCACGATGTCCTTCTTCAGGGACTGATCCCTCCTGATAACATGTTCAAAGTACGTGAGACGAAGTTTCACCATCCTTGCTTCTAAGGAGCATTCTGGCTGTACTTCTTCCAAGACAGATTTGTTCGTTCTCTTGGCAGTCCACGGTATACTCAGCATATGTATATAGCTTTGTAAATCAAACTGAAAATCTTTTTTTCTTTCAGTAGGTTAGTTAAATCCATGCATATTTATTTCTATGACTGGTATGTTCGACCTCATCTCTGTCATAATATTTTATTACTACGTGTATTTTACTTATAAACTTTTTAAGGGGGTATTTCAGAAACTTTGCCTTTTTGTTTTAATTGCTACCTTTGGACATAAACCTTTTAAATGCCCTTAGTCCTTTTTTTTATTTAACCTTTTGCTATTGGGTTTCTCAGTTTTGATTGGTATTGCTTTGTTTTTCTTCTTTAAGGACTCCAACAATACAAATGTTATTGCTTCTTGAGCTTTCATTTGCACTACTTTCTCTCTGATCCTTTTAAAATATTTATCTCATTTTCATTCTATTGGGTTTTTTTTCCTGCCCTTACTCAACGCCCTTATTAAATTTTCATTTGAATCTATTCTCTTTTGTGCACTTCGTTATATATTCTTCAACTGTGAGATAACTTTGGCTTTTTCTGCCATTTCTTTCCTGAATTCCATCATTTCTTCCTCTTTATTTTTTTTGTTCATTTCTGTTCTCAGCTTTAAAATTTCTGATTCAAGGTGGTTTTTCATTATCTTCAAATGCTTGAATCTACTTAATTCCATTTAGGGTTCTGTTTTCTTCTTCTTCATGATTATTTTACTGACAGGAAATTTCCTCAGTTGATATACACTGAATTTCATTTTCTGATTTTTTTTTTTTTTGCAACAATCCTGTATGGATCTTAATCTTTTTGTTGTTCATTTTTGTGGTATTAGACTGTTTCACAAGATTCATAGTTAAATGGTGCTGTTTTCTGTCAGTATAGCAAAGCTTATATACTTTAGTGGATTTTTATTTCTTTTGCTGGTCAGGGGAAAGTTTGTGTGCCCTCTGATTTTGTACTACTCCTTTGTCTTGTAGGTTGGTAAATTTTATTTTCCCTTTTGCCTCTCTGCCAACTTACTGAATTTCAGCTCCAAATTCATCCTTTTTATTTGCTCTGTGAAAACGGATCTGGGCTCTTTAAATATTTTCCTTTCTAGCTGGCACTGAAGCTTTGTCAACAGAGGGCACTAGAGAGACATTACAGAAGGAAAGTTGCTTTCGGGTTCCAGAGTGCTCCTTTAGCAAGCTACTCTAGCATTTGAGCGTCTCCTGAGATTCAGGCCCCTGCAGCACTGCAGCATCTTCAGTGCCTGTCTCCTGAAGCATGGCTGGCTTCTCCAGCACCAGGCTCCTACAGTGCACAGCCAGCAGCCAACAACAGCTTCCCCCAGTAACTCCCAGTCTCAGACAGCCTCTGGTGAGATACCTCTCAGCAAATAGCTTTCTGGCATCCTACAGCACTCTTCGATAGTCAGCTGGTACAGCAGGGGACCGTAGACAGGACACGTATAGACATCCTTAAGTCGCTGGTTCGACTCCAGCTCGAAGGAGGTACCTGAAGCTTTTGAAGCCCTGGTGGCGCAGTGGTTAGGAGTTATGGCTGCTAACCGAAAGGTCTGCAGTTCGAATCCTCCAGCTGCTCTTTGGAAAGCCTACAGAGCAGTTCTACTCTGTCCTATAGGGTTGCTGTGAGTCAGAATCGACTCAACGGCAATGGGTAATGGGAGCATCCTAGAGGGGCAGGCTTCCAGCAAGTTCTAGAGGGCAGATTTCTGGTTAGTAGCTGAGCTCTTAACCACTGTACCACCAGGGGTCTAGAGGGCAGATTTCTGGCAAGTTCCAGACAGGGGATTTTCAGTGACTTCTCTGCCATCCAGTGAGCCACAGATGTGCCCATTTCAACAAGGCTGGGATCTCAGCCCTGAGGATGAGGGGGACGCTCTTCCTTGAACACTCAATTTTCTGTCCCAGGAGTAGTGGCTACACCTTACATTTGCTTTTCTGTATTCTTTACAGTTCTCCTTATTTCTTACTAGCCAATCCCTCATTATTCCAATTCCCTGTTATAGATAGCAATTCTTTATTATCAATTTTCCCCATTCAAATTACTGGGTGGTTTTTCTCTCTGGGCTGGACCTGAACTGACACATCATCTCTTTTCCTTTACCCTTCAACTGAAAAGGGGTGTTTCTTCTTTGCTTTTTATCTTTTTTCTTCCCCAAAAGCTATGTGTTCTGAATTGCATATATTTTTATTTCCCTGTTGTTCACAATCTGATCTGCCTGGAAAACATTTTAGTGTTTTCATAGTTAGGATGGGCTTAGTCTTTCTGGTGGTAGTTTTAAAACAACCTTAAACTCTATTTCAAATTTCCATCTTCCCCATAGTGTTTCTTAGTCTGTCTTTATAAAGCCTTGTGGCAAAGCAGGGTTGGGAAGGAGCATGAGAGATCTAGTGCTAGCATTTGGTGCTCTTTTTTTTCTCTTTAAACTTCGTTATTTTAAGTTTGGTTGTTTTCAAGCTGTGCTGAGGACACAGTTTTTGTGTAGTTTTATTCTTCCTTTCTTGTTGCTCTGTGTTGTTTTGGAGGAAACACTGAGAGACGGGGACCTAAACTGCCTTCATTGTCTTCAGCTACCCTGAAGTTCTATTTCCTGCAAGTTTGAGACGATTACTTCTAATAACAATCAAAGGAGAAGAACGACAAAGCACGAAGATAAGAATGAAAAATCCTAGACTCACTAGCTCTGTCACTAATAATTACCTAAAATTGGATGGTTTACTTCAGTGCTAGGATTATTTCCTCATTTGTAAAATGGAGTGGCTGGACTAGGGCAGTGGGTCCTAAATCCAGATAAGCATCAGACATAACTGATGCATAAGGACTTCTTTGCCCCACTCCTAGGCATTCTGATTCAGTAGGTGGGGGGGGGGGGCAGCCAGGAATGGGCATATTAAACAAACATCTGTGGTGATTCTCATGAAGCTTCAAGGTGTCACATTTAGGAACCTTTAGGTAAGATAATCAGTGACATCATTTCCAGTTAGATGAGCCTATGCAAGCTTTGCTGATTCAATAAGCTCTAGTGATTTCATCTTTTAATATAAAATAAAAGCAATGTATTAATGTTAAAATATTCCAATTAGCTTATGTTGTATGAAGGCTTTTCCCATTTCACTTTTTTTTTTTTTTTAAACAAAACAATTCAAAGCAACCAGAGCACATAAAAAATGGGCTGAAGGAGGGGAGGGCAAAGACAACAACAACAAAATACACACACACACACACACACACACAAACACAAAAGGAACTACATTTGGTACATGTAGAGAAGGAGGAGGAAATACACCATAACTTGTTCCCAATTCACTTTGAAAATCAAATCACTCTTCAGAGAAAATTCTGCATCTTTAGGTCCCACTAAAGTTAAGCACAGTATACCCAAAATCTGTTGCCGTCAAGTTGATTCCAGCTCATGGCTACCCTACAGGACAGAGTAGAACTGCCCCATAAGGTTTCCACGGAGCGACTGGTGGATTTGAACTGCTGACCTTTAGGTTAACAGTGAGCTCTTAACCACTGTACCACCAGGGCTCCAAGCACAGAGTAGTCAGATATAATCGTGGCTCATTCTTTCCCGGGTCCTGTATATTCTTTCGAAGTAAATGCAACCAATGCCCCTTCTGATTCTGAAGAAAACCTATTGTAAATTTGATGTCTACAAGTCACATAAGCTATCCGCTCCTGTTTCACGTATGGTCTATTATTACTTTCTAAGAAAAGTAATACTAAACGAAGGCATACACAACAGCAATGTTAATTCAAGGAAATTCAAAGCATTTCCCCTATGTCTTGACATTTCTACTAACGCAATACATCCAGGGAAGACGCTGCTAAGGGATCTGTTCTGGTCATACCCGATTGCAGCAGGGGTCAAGCGAGTGTGTAACTGAGGCGCTGTAGACGTGGTGGTGGTTGTCAGGGAACAGTCAGTTCCGGTTTTCTCCCAGTCAAAAGGGTCACTCTCAATTACCCCAAAGGTCTTGATGCTGTTGTCAAACACGGATGTAAGAAGCTAAACCACAAAGATAAAAAAAAAAAAATGAGTGAGTCAACAGTCACTTTACTCTAGAAGAAAAAGCACTCCAGACTCATAAAATGGTTTTGTAGTATGATTTTCTTTAATAATTGATGGTACAAATCAGGGAAATTTGAATAAGGACTATATGTGGATGATGACATGAATTAATATTGATTTTTCTTAGATGTGGTACTAGTGTTGTAATTGTGTAAGAAAACATCTCTGTTCTTGGAAGATGCACAATGAAGTGTTATGGTATCTATAATGGCTTGGCAAACAGTTTGGCAAAAGGGTATGTGGTATATGCGTGTTCAGATGAACCATCTTCTTAATCATTTTTTTCATGGGGGATAAAAAAGGGGAAGTTTTATATGGTTCACCCTAATACCTATAGAGAGATGGAATAATATGATCAGTGTTAACAGTTGAGTTGGTCTGTCTAGGTAAGAGGTATATAAAATTTCATTGTGCGTTCTCCCAATGTTTTGGGGTTTAAAAAATTCGTTGTGTGTATACACATACACAAATTATCAAAATGAAATTTGCCCTATTAGTTTGGGTGCCCTATTAGTTTGGGTGTGTGTGTGTGTGTGTGTGTGTGTACGCCCGTAAATTACTAAACAGCTCACAAAGACTTTCCTTTACTGTTTCTGACAGTACTCACCATTTTTAATTCTGTGATTATGGCTTCACTCTCTACTCATCATTTCCTTACTCTGTTAGTATCCTATCCTTGGAGTTTCTCTGCTTCTATCTATCTTCTTAAGTATCTTTAGGAATCATACATATTTTAATTCTCAAATCTACTCTTCCCCAATTTATTCGGTTTTGAAAATTGCCTTCCCTAGATGCTATATGTCTCAACACCAAATCTCATGGAAAAATTCAGATTGCTCAGATTTTTTCAGAAATCTTCCTGTTTTCATTTAATAAACTCAAATGTCAACTTCTCTTTTTTCTATTATAAATAGCAGTCACTGACTATAACCATTTCTTCTGAAGAAACTGTTTCTTCAATTACCAGACTCTAGGTCTACTTCATTTTGACTTCTGCAATATTCTTTTACTTGAAACTTTGCCTGTAAGTTTTGATCTCTATCTTTCCCCTTACTTATCAGATAAATGAATTGGGGTAAATTTCTTTTGTGAGCCTCAATTTTCCCATTTGTGAGCTCGATTATTGCAAGTAGTACATGAGATGTTACCTAGTATGCGATCAATTAAATGTTAGGCAAATCAGAATCATCTGCTCTTCTAATTTTGCCTCTTTTGGTTAATTTTAGGAATAACTTCTTATTTTCTGCATCATTAGCTTCTGATATCGGTAATAGCTTTTGAAAACATATTCATATTCTTCTTTGTATTCAAAAGGATTTAAAGCAGCAGTTTCTTAGCTGGTCTCCCCATCTCCATATATTTCTACTACTCTAATTCATCCTAAACAGTTACTAAAATAATTTTCCACTATTATTATTTGAATCTCATTATGTCCAATAAAGAAGCTATTACTGTCATATATTCAACTTTCTCAGACTTTCGTTCAGTTCCATCAAGTAGCGTCCTGTTCTCTCTAATTTCACCCTTTAAAACTCACTTTCTTCTTTTCTTTTTTTTTTTAATTGTGCTTTAGGTGAAAGATTACACAGCAAATTAGTTTCTCATTAAACAGTTACTACACAAATTGCTTTGTGATATTGGTTGCCAACCCCGTGATGTGTCAATACTCTCCCCTTCTCCACCCTGGGTTCCGTTGCCATTCGTCCTGTTTTCCTGTCCCTTCCTGCCATCTTGTCTTTGTTTTGGGGCCAGTGTGCCCATTCAGTCTCATATACATGATTGAACTATGAAGCACATTCCTCATGCATATTATGTTTGCCCTATAGACCTGTCTAATCTTTGGCTGAAGGGTAAACCTCAGGAGAGACTTTAGTACTGAATTAAAAGGGTGGCCGGGGGCTATACTCTTGGGGCTTCTCAAGTCTCTGTCAGACCAGCAAGTCTGGTCTTTCGTGTGCGTGCGTGTGCCTGTGTGTGGGTGCGTGCGTGCTTGCGTGCGTGCGTGGATTTCAATTTTGTCCTACATTTTTCTACCGCTCTGTTCCGGATCCTCTACTGTGATCCCTGCCAGAGCAATAGGTGGTGGTAGCCAGGTATCATCTAGTTGTTCTGGGCTCAGTCTGGTGGAGGCTGTGGTAGTTGTGCTCCATTAGTCCTTTGGACTAATCTTTTCCCTGTGTCTTTGGTTTTCTTCATTCTTCTTTGCTCCACCCAGGATGGATGTATCTTAGATGGCCTCTCGCAGGCTTTTAAGACCCCAGACTCTACTCACCACAGATGGATATAGAACATTTTCTTTATAAACTATGTTATGCTAATTGAGGTAGATGTCCCTTAAGACCACGGTCCCCAGCCCTCAGCTCAGTACCTCAGTCCCTCAGGGAGTTTGGATGTGTCTGTGAAGCTTCTATGACTTTGTCCTGGTCAAGCTGTGCTGACTTCCCCAGTACCGTGTTCTGTCTTACCCTTCACCAAAGGTACCACTTATCTACTATCTAGTTAGCGTTTTTCCCTCAACACTCCTCCCCTCCCTCATAACCATCAAAGATTGTTTCTGTGTGGAAACTGTTATAATAGTGGTCTCATATAGTATTTGTCCTTTTGTAATTGACTTATTTTGTGATTGACATATTTCAGTCAGCATAATGCCCTCAGATTCATCCATGTTGTGAGATGTTTTGCAGATTCATCATTGTTCTTGATAATAAAACTCATTTTTCTTGATCTAGCCAATCTTTTTTTGTCTGCTTCCTACTTATCTCTGCGCCTATCCTCATTCTATAAACCCTACTCGGAAGTCAACCTCTAAGTCCTTTTCTATTTTATAATATCCATATTTATCTTAAAATTTACTGCAAGCCTTACCTCCTCCCAGGACATTCATACTAAAACTCAACCCATGGCCACCAAGATCAACAATTACACACTCAATTGACATAATGGAAATAGCATGGACTTTTGAATCAGACAAACCAGAACTCAAATCCCGGTACTCAATAACTGTGTAAATTTAAGTTTCTTTTTTCTTTCTATTTTTTTTTTTTTTATTATAAAAGTAAAATTTTCTCATGGTAAGAAAACTCAAACAGTATTAATGAGTATAAAGTAAAAAGTAAAAGCTGCCCCACTTTGCCCAGTTCCTGGTCTCATTCATCAACAGGTAATAAATTCTCATTCCACTGTTAATAGATTCTTGCACACCCTTCCACATATAAAACCTGTATCCTATAGAAACTTTTAATGCATGCACACATACATATTTGTGTACTTTCTTTTTACAGAAATATGACCATAGTGTAAATTTTTTCTCCTTGTTATCCACTGGCAACTCCGTTCAGTTTACCTAACTTCTCTAAATATTGTAAAACACATGAGGGCTCAGGCCTTGGCCAACTTCTCTATTCAGGTCAGGGGTCATTAAATTTCTGTAAATGTTCTAGGCTTTGTGGGCCACATAGCTGCAACTACTCATTTCTGCCATTGTAGAGTGAAAGCAGCCATCAGTATGTACATGGGTGAGCATGGCTGTGTTTGAATAAAATTTTATGAACGCTTAAATGTGAATTTCATATACTTTTACATGTCATGAATATTATTCTTTTGATTATTGTTAACCACTTATAAGTAAAAGCCATTCTTAGCTTACAAACCATACAAAAACAGATGGTGGGATGGATTTGGCCAGCAGCTGTAGTTTGCCAACCCCTGATCTAGATTCTAGCCTATCTCCTAGGTGATCTCATCCAGTCCCATGACTACATGCTGATGATTTCCAAATTTATTTGTACACATACACACACAAAGACACATACACAAATGCCTACTTAACATACCCACTTGGAAGTCTAACCAACGTTTCAAACTTAACATGGCTAAAACAAAACATTTTTTAATAACTTTATTGAGATTTAATTCACATATCATCCAATTCACTAAGTTAAAGTGAGTCACTCAGTTTACTTTAAATACCCTTTTGTACATTTACAGAGTTGTGTATCCATCACCACCATCGATTTTAGAATATTTTCATTATTCCTAAAAGAAACCCTGTATCCCTTATCTGTACCCTTGAATCCCATCATCTCCCCATCTTCCCCAGCCTGAGGCAAACACTAATCTACTTTCAGCCTCTATGGATTTACCTATTCTCAACATTTCAAATAAATGGAATCATACGATATGTTGTCCTTTGTGACTGGATTCTTTCACTTAACATAATGTTTTCAAAATTCATTCATGTTGCAGCATGTATTAATACTTCTTTTTATTGCTGAATAACATTCCAGCGTGTGGATATACTACCTTTTATATATCCATTCATTAATTGGTGGACATGTGGGTTGTTTCCACTTTATGGCTATTATGAATGATGCTGTTATGAACACTCATGTGCAAGATTTTGTGTGAACATATGCTTTCATTTCTCTTGGGTATATAACTAGGAGTTGAATTTCTGTATCATAGGGTAACTCTATGTTTAACTGTTTGACGAACTGTCAAACTGTTTCTAAAGGAAATGTACCATTTTACATTCCCACCAACAGTGTGGTTCCAATTTCTTCACAGACTCACAAATATCTGTCTCTTTGATTACAGCCATCAAGTAGAGGGTCAGAAAAAGTGAGGGAAACCCTCAATGAGATGGGCCAACACAACAGCTACAACAATGGACTCAAACATACCAATTATCATAAAGATGGTACAGGACCAGGCAACATTTAGTTTTGTTATACACAGGTCACCATGAGTAAGAGGTCACTAGACGGCAACTAACAACAATGAATGTGAAGTGGTATTTATTGTGGTTTTGATTTGCATTTCCCAAATAACTGATGTGGGGGGCCGACTGCAGAACAAACTATCAATTGCTCAAATGCAAGTTCAAGTTGAAACTGAAGAAAACTAGAATAAGCTGACGAGAGCCAAAGTACGACCTT